GTGCGGCGACACTCAGGTTGGCGGCGAGCCGCCATGATGGAATCCGTAGCTTAAGGAGATAGTTGTATTAATGACCTCAATTAAGCCGGCAATAATTCTGCGGTGTGCACACAAAACAACAAGTCCAAATATGATATTTCCTTTTACTGCCCTAAAAATTGTTAGTTTCTGTCCTAAAAATTCCACATCCGACATAACTATAGCAGCGATGAATAAAAAAAATATAGGATTATTCTCATTGGTACTTTTGAATTTTGAGATCATTTCTAATTTATCCTCTGAATTTTATACTTTATCCTTTGAATTGTTTTCACTTAACCCATTTTATTGTAATTTATGTTAAAGTTATATAGAAAAGGAAGAGATTAAGTATAGTCATGTAGTTTTTATTTGTTTCTTTTTATAGAGATCCAAATAGAAAGACCACGACCGTGTTTGAAGTTGGTTTTGTTTTTGTTTTTTATGTTTTTTGAGAAAGAAAAAATAAAAACGGGAGAGAAACGACATTTGACACAATTAAAAATAAAAAACAAAAATGAAAACGATTTTTTAATTTTAATGTAAAATGAGAGAGAAATAAAAAACGACTTTTAGTCGTTTTTCATTTTTTATTTCCGTACATTAATGAATTTTTTATATTGAAAATAATCTCTTGATAAAATTACCAAACGCATTTTCAAAAATGATTTCTGTCTGAAATTAAAAACATTTTCATTTTTATTTTCATACAAAAAAATAAAATTATTTTGAAACGAGTTCCAAACGCACCCCACGTGACTGCGTTATTATCTTTTTTTTATTTATTTTTAAAAGAAATTACAACATAATGAATTAAGTGGAAACAATATAAAATTCAAGAGTAAAATTAGAATTTTTAAAGTTGAGGGCAAATTAAAAATGACCATAAAATTTAATAAGCGTCAGTGATAATAATCTAAAAACATATTAGTTATCTCATTAAAATTTCATGAGATATATAACTAGTTAGTAATGATTGAATTATAAAAAAAAATAAAAAGTTCACCCACGAATTTTTACCTGTAGTTTATTCCATCAACGCTAGCTCTAGTAAGTATTTCCAGCAAATAAAATTGACGTGTTAAATTTTAATAAGGTGTCCGTATTTAGCTGAGGAGAAAACAGTGGAGACAACAACATGCGACAACAAATTTGAACACCAAAACAACATTGGTCAACAATCCAAGTATAGAGAGAGATACTGATCAACCAGTTCTGATCAATTTTCAAAATTTTCATTTCATTGCAGCCCCTTCAATAATTTAACAAAGAAATAATGTTCATCAAATATCAATTGCCGCCTAGAACAGCTTATCTGACCTTTATCTTGTCCCAAAACCATCTTTAATGGAGGAAAAAGAAAAGTAACTGGGCGTGCTTCTTGGATTCTGGTCACCAACAACCCACTCAAATAATACAAAAAATGGAAGTCAATATCGAGATTGGGCAGCCAAGAAGGGCTTACTGTTCACTAGTCCGGTCATCACCGAAAGCTAAATCAAATATCTGGCTGTAATCATCCACGAAGTGGACATCAAGGCCTTCTTTTACATTTGGCGCCAGCTCATCATAATCCCTCCTGTTCGCCGAAGGGAATATGATGGTCTTCACTTCGCTCCTCCTTGCTGCAATAGTTTTCTCTTTAACCTGATTTATTTAACCAAAAAAACTTTAATGAGCCTCAAAATCAACGAAATGAACAACGATGGGCATAAATTAGTTCCCTTAAATGGGGTTGAAAACTTGAAACCTATGTGACATGGGGTGGAACAAACAAATTAGCATACCCCGCCAATCGGAAGAATCCTCCCTGTTAGAGTTACTTCTCCGGTCATTGCTAGATCCTTCTTGACGGGTTTCTTCATAGCAAGTGACAGCATGGATGTGATCATGGTGCAACCAGCGCTCGGCCCATCCTTTGGGGTGGCGCCAGCAGGAACGTGGAGGTGAAGCTTGGAGGTGGCAAAGAAATTGTTATCCGGCTCCTTATCAAGCAATATCGCTCGAGCAACAGTGTGAGCTATCTGGGCACTTTCTTTCATGACATCTCCGAGTTGACCCGTCAGAACCAGGGCTGCTTTCCCTTCTCCTTGCTCAATTTGGGCGGTCTCTATGTATAGTGTGGAACCACCCATAGCAGTCCAAGCAAGACCCATCACGACTCCAACTGGAGTTTGATCGAAGATGCGTTCTGCGTGGAAAACAGGTTTGCCAACAAAATCTGCTAGATTTGATTCGTCAACCAACACTTTCTCAACTGTCTGTGTTGCTTCTCCTTCCTTAATATTTTCGGTTTCTTTTGCATCCTGTAGAAAAGATAAACAAGAAAAAACAAAAAACAAAATATCATGTTAAAAGACTTGAATTAATCAAATCAAATTCAAAAGGACTACGCCACGTGGCCTCCTGCTTTAATGTTTCTTTAATGGTCTATTCTTAAGGTACTCAATCCCATATATAGTTTCCAATATTTATGTTTCTTCCCATGTGAATAAGCAACTAAGTTCATAGTGAAAGAAATGTGTGGAATTATTTTGAATTCTATTCTGCATTTAAAAATTTCTACAGAGTCTGCTGATTGATCAGCTGGAAGGTTCACCTCAACTGTCTCAGTTTCTGTGGAAGATTCAATTTTTTGTTCATGGCTCTCGGCCTCAGCTGATTCAACAACGCTCTGATTCTTGTTAGCATCATTATTTTGAACCAATTCATCCCCATGTTTTACTTCTGCTTTATCAGTTTCAGCAACTGCATTTTCACCGCATACTCCTTGTCTAACAAGTTTCAGAGCTATCTGTCAGGCCACAATAAAAGTTCTTGTTTAGTAAACCTGACACATTTAGCCATTCAATAAACTTTGAAAACCAATGGATTCTGTTTGCTAGCTCCCAGGCGTAAGATAATAGTAGAGAAACGTATTTAAACTTTAAAGTTGAACAACGCGGCTGTACTATGACATTATCGCACACCAAAAATTGCAGATCAGTATCTAAAATGAGTAAGCAAACCTTGCGGTATATCTTTTCTATTTGTTTTTGGAGATTCCGAACGCCAGATTCTCGGCAGTAATTTTCTATAAGAGCTAGAAGGGCAGCATCGGTAACTTCAACCTGAGAATTAAGTTGTTTGGATTATTACACATTGCAGAAAAACAAAAAAAAGGCAAAATGCACGCCCCATACCCAGTTAGAATAACAACCTGTTCAGGTTTAATGCCACATGCTTCACGTGTGGACTTCTCCAAGTAGTCTCTTGCAATATGAATTTTCTCATCAGTTATATATCCAGCAATGGCAATGACCTCCATTCTGTCCAGGAGGGGATTTGGTATCATCTCCACAACATTTGCGGTGCACACAAACAGAACCTGCAATAAATATTATAAACAAAGGTCATTTAAGTCAAACAATGGCAATTACTATTAAATAAAGAAGCAGAGATAAAACATCTCCCCATCATCACTACAACTAACCTTTGATAGATCAATTGGAACGTCAATGTAGTGGTCTAGAAAATTTGCATTCTGCTCTGGATCAAGAAGCTCTAACAAGGCACTTGCTGGATCACCAGCATGTCCCCTTCCCAACTGCCATCGAAAGGTAACAGCATTCTTAGAATAATAGAAAAACCTTAATTAAAAATCATCATTTTTATGTATAAGTACACTATAACAAACCTAAATCAACTGGCAATTGCTATCAATATGGAATAAATAACAGGTCAACAGTAAATGATGCGACTCAAAACATATATCAACCAAGGAAAATGGCCGAAATTACCTTGTCAATCTCATCAATCAAAACAAGAGGGTTAGCTGTTCCCACATTTTTAAGGCATTGAACCATCTTCCCTGGCATAGCACCGATATAGGTTCGACGATGCCCCTGGAGGCAATTTTGGGGGTTAAAGACATAAGACATAGCAATGCAATTATATTAATGTAGAGATGCATATATTATTATTACTCGGTATAAAGAGGTTTAGCTACCTTAATTTCAGCGACATCAGCTAAGCCTCCAACGGAAAAACGGAAGAACTTACGGTTCAAGGCACGTGCAATTGAACGACCAATGCTGGTTTTACCCACTCCAGGTGGACCAGAGAGACAGATGATTTTTCCTGCGATTGGCACAGCATAAAACCAATATGAATTGCCAGCAAAGATCAATTGAGGGAAAAAAGGCCCAATTCATAACATGTTGGTGCATAGCCCAAGAAAATAAATAAGAAAACGACACCAACCTTGTGAGGTTCCTCTAAGTTTTCCAACCGCAATAAATTCCAATATCCTTTCCTTTACATCAGTTAATCCATAATGATCTTCATCAAGAATCTTTTGTGCCCGAAGAACATCAAAGTTCTCATCACTGTAATCAAAAAGAAAATAAATCACAGGAAATGGAAACTGCTAAAAAAGAATAGAAACGGCCATTTAAATACAGTTTTAAAATTGTCACACTTTTTCACCAGCCTTGGTATAGCAGCAAACATAACACAATTGAAACGATAGAGATCATCTAACAGAACCAATGGTTAGTTATATAAGATTCAAACCTGTAATTTCCCCAAGGCAGTGCGGTCAACCAATCCAAATAGTTGCGAGTTACATTAAATTCACTTGAACTTGCCTCTAATAGCTGCAGTTTTGTAAGCTCTTCCTCTATAACTTGCAAAACATGGGGTGGGCATTTATCCCTGTTTGGTTCAAGCCTTTCCCTAAACTTCGCTGCAGCATAGTATGTGCAACTTTTGGACCATTGTCAACTTAAATGCTAAAGCCTAAAAAGAACAACACTATTTTGCTTTCTCCAGAAATCCTATCACTAACAAATGTTTAAAGAAGCGAAAAGACTTTTCGCTCAAACATAATGATTAATGGATATCAAGTTTGTAGGAGCAACTAATAAGAAATGGTTATAAATTTTGATTCTTGACGTGGCAGTTCTAGCTTTCAAAAACGCTTTGGAATTGTACCAACTATGCAGATACCACGCGAACAGAAGAGGAAGAAACCTAGAACTATATAATCACAAAAATATAAAATTGTAGCAGACTAACCAGATAGTGCTGTCTTATCATCAGTCTCCAATCCCAATTCCTACACAAGAAAGGCAACATGGATCAATTTCTTGTCGGGAAATACAAATTGCCTGAAAAGAACATCGATTGCAGGGCAAGCCATCATAAATAATTGTAAATACAGTAAAGCGAAAGACCTTCTTTATTGCCTTTAGTTGCTCATTCAATAAGTAGCGCCGTTGTTCACCACTTATCTTTTCTTCAATTGCTTTTGCAATGGATTCCTAAATAAAAAATTAAAAATCCAGGAAGAAAAGTTCAAATAAGGATCAAAGAATGGTGAAGATTAATGAATATATAAATTTAAACAATGGCATCAAATACCTGAATCTTGGTTATTTCAATTTCTTTCTTCACTAATTCCAGTGTGAGCTTTAAACGCTTATACACCTGAAATTTCAGTTACAAAAGCACCAAATGATACCAGAGAGAAAAAGGTCTTAAAATTCAGTTCTATCATAACATATAATACTATTTTTTCTTCCAAAGAGAAGCCAAAATAAAATTAAACACTTCAAGACCAATAACCATATTGAGACGTGTTCAATGATACTTACATCTAGCTCTTCAAGCACTTGTTGGCATTGCAATTTGTTTGCACCAGATATTGCAGCTCCAAAATCTGCTAACCTTGGAAAATTAAAATCACCTATATGCTGCACATATTGGAAAAGCAAAGAAAGAGGGAGGGAGGGGGGAGGGTGCGGGGGGTACTTGTCACAAACTGTAAATGCCAGGCAGAAAATTCTTAACACATGAACAGATATATGGCAACACAAAATGATCGGGCAAAAGAGCAACAAAACTAATACCGTTCCCAACTAAGACTTAATAGTAAGAAAGTTTACTAGCACGAACCAATGATACCTTTACCCAAGTATTTCTCGACTGAGCATGTCTTCTCTCATAAGCAAACCATCAGAAGAACCCTTGTTATAGTGAAGATCCAAATTTCATACACACTAGTGGCTTAATAGCTCAGAAATGATATGGTAAAAAACAAATATGAGGCAGAAGGAAATCAACAATGTTGTAAATAAAAATCAAAGTCTTCTACCAAAAGGAAGACATGGTTTTAAGCTTCTGAACTCTATATTCATCATCTCAGGTTATTAACGCAATTGCGTACGGACTCTCAGATTCCTAAAGCATATTTTGTAAATTACTTGAACAAGGGGAGCAGAGCCTTACAACTTATCCTGTATTTACCTACATATATATGTTCCCTATTCTCCCTCTTCCACTTCTTCTTTCTTCCTTATAAATTGACTGGTAATAGCATTATTACAAAGATTCGACTCAACTACTAATTTCAAAGAAAATAAGCCACAAGCACGACCAGTTCAAATGAGCATTATAACCTAAGTTCCATACACTGGATCATTTGCAGGAAAACATTGGTCACAAACTACAAAAGCACGCATCGAGTATATCCGTACAGTTGGAGAAAAATAAAAGAACAAACTTAGAGACTGCAAGATTCCTAGGACTTCCAGAGAAAGATAAATAATGAAATAGCCAATGATCATACAAAAGAATAGACCCAACTTATCCCAAAAGCTTGGAAAGTACATCACACCTGAGTGTACGTTTGGACATGGTCTCTCCAAAGGGAACTAGTCTTCAGAACATCCCTTAAGGTTGATATGACCTCAAATGAAGTTGCCTTAATTACATCATCATCCTTGTTATATGGTTTGTCCTACAAGACAAGATACAGCCCAGAGAGGGAAACAAACAAGAGAAGATAAGAAAATTATTCTATCACACGTGTAGCAATTTGGTAAGAAAAGAAAAAATATGGTTGGCATGCCTTGAGATGATCAACTTTTACAGTAAGTGGCTCCTCGCTAACCTGTCAGAAGACGATCTTTCTCAGCTAAGCATTTTAGATTTGAATATAAATAGGATAAAATCAAAGGGATAAATAAATGTGATATTTCGATTCAGTAGTATCACCTATCAAGACAAATTACAAGTTCATGCTTACTGCTCATTTCTACCCACCATCTCTGTAATTCGAAGACGCCTGTGTCCGATGAGGATGACCTGGTCTCCTTGGATACTTGAGATCTGGTGTGTAATGTTACAAAACCAATAACATCAACAAGTGAGAGGCAACACCAAGTGAAGCATTTCAAGTTGGTCCATAAACTGTAGCAAATTAGATACCTGCGCAAGAGTGCCAACTTCGTGAAGACGATTAAACAGCTCTTTTCCTTTCATGGCATAGATGTTTTTCTCAGACTCAGAACCAGATACCAAACTAGGATCAGTCCCCGGCTCATCCTTGAGAAGGAAAGCACCAGCATATGGAGCTTGCCGTTTACGGTTTTCCTGTAAAGCTGCCAAAAGCTTAGGATCCTGCACAAAAAGTACCTCTGTTAGAGATGGATACTACTGAATCGAAATATTAACGGGCTGCAGAGGTTCGGAAACTGCCATTACATTATATACCAATACCCAAAATAAGAACCAAAAGAGAATTTTTTATGCAATTAACGAGCCTCGATACCTTGACATAGATTGGCATGTAGAATCCCGGAAATAGCGGTCTATGCGGTAAGGGCAATGCTAAAACCTGTCCCAAGAACACAGGAGAGTCATCATTTGCAAAATATAAGTACACGGGCAACTCTCGTCCATGCTTTTGAAGCAACTAGTAGGTTTAACAAACAGTTCAATGATTAGTATTTAGGCAAGTTTGACAAATTCAACAAAAACAAGAGAATACAAAGCCATATCCAATCAACTCCCAAATTCACATTATTACGAACACCTAGCTTACATAACGCAATAAAGTTTGCTTCTTTACCAGTTTTTTCCTTCTTTTTCCTCCAAATTTTCCACCAACAAAACAACAATAATCTGATCAAATGCACTAAATTCAATGAACCAATTCAAATTTATACACATTTCTCAATTTTTCATACACCAAAAACAAGTCCATTAAGCGAAACAAATAAAAAATTTCAGAACCAAGAAAAGTCCAACAAACCGTTAGATAATCTTCGGGTCTAGGGTTCGTGGACACGATTGCCGAGGACGGTTTCGACTCGTTCCCCGACTCGGCCTCCTTGACCTCGGCGTCTGACGCCGGCTCGGAGCCATCCTTCGCGTCGGAGCAGAAAAACACACGGGAACTCCTATTAGAGCCTCTCCGAGACAAAGCAGTGAGCGAGCTCAGGACTCGGAGAAACGTCGCCGTCGAGTTGCCGGACCCGGTTCGGGGACCCGTCGGAGCGAGACTGTGGATCCGGCTCTGAAGGCATGAAGAGGAAGATGATGAGAGAAGCTTCAACATTTTCCGGCGGAGAGTGAATTGGGATGGGAGGCGTGAAATTAGGAATTCAAGGGTTTGGTCTTGTTTTGTCCTAGGCGGTTTGGTGATTTTGATGGTCAAGAACCGCCATTGATGGAGCAAAGCATTAGAGAGAGAGAGAGAGAGAGAGAGAGAGATAGAGAACGCTCTAAAGGTTTTCGGTTAAAGCCCTGCCAAAACCCTTGGGTAACCTTGAGTTGGCGAAATTACCCCTAAAGTTAGATAATATTACGAATTGGTCATTACTTTAGCGCTTTTTTTTTTTCCTTCAATTTTGTTCTTTTAAAAAACAAGATCGAGGGAAAAAAAAAAAGATTTTTACACTAATATTCCCTGCCGAGATCTCTTCAGTTGGAGGATTTGTACCCCGATTTAAATTATGATTCGTGATTTGTTATAATATTTTTATAAAAAAACATATAAATAAAAAATTATTCTAATTTCATAATTTTAATATATGAACCAAATGTTAGTTTAATCAAGCTATTTTACGTTAGCATTCCTGACCTCTAAAAATATAATGGATACATTTTTGTATTTAATCAAACACGACGAAAAGTACTCTAATTAATATATTATCAAACAATTCATTGCATATAGGATTGAAAAATAAGGTCCCGACCCTCATATATCCTTAAATCATCTCTGATTGTATATTTAATATCAAAAATGTGTTATTTTTATTTTTATTTAAATATATAATGTTATTTAAAATGTTAAATTTATTTTTTTTATAATTATAAAACTTTAGAAGTTATAAAAGTAAATTTTTATTTTTAAAATAATTAAAAAATGTAAAAATTACATTAATTATATGAAAAAGTAAACATTTTAATCCATAGTAATTATAAATGTCAAATTTTTTATATACTATATTTGGTGAAAAATTTACCACAAAAAATAGTATGTGGAAAATTTGGCATAACAAATAGCATTGTATTAGAGAGTATTTTTTACACTCAAATGTTAAATTTATAATTGACACATTAATTTTAACATTACATTGGAAAAGCACTAAAGATGAGTTTAAATTGTGAAGATTCTAATCTGTAAAAAGGAGCCTAGTTATGAAACATAAGCAAATATTAACACTAACACAGTTTTACTTTTTTTTTAGCACTCTCTACAAAAATAACTAAACAAAACTTTAGAGTATATTCATTTGCACAACTTAAGTTATGAGTCGAGTTATATATGTGAGAGAAAAATATTATTAAAAATGTTAAATTTGAATTTTTATGAGAGAAAATAATGTAACAATAAGACTTGATTTATGAAAATAAATAAGGCATTAGAAGCCAATTCCAACATTATTTTAAAAATTTGCATTGTCTCTATTCAAAATAACATTCTAAGGATGTAACAAAATCCTTCTAAAATTCGTGTATTTTTTAGAGAGAAAAAAATGCAAATAAATCGAATGTTTCTAGAAAAAAAAATTAAAAAAAAAAGTCTCGAGGTGTTTCTACTCGAGCAAAAACAAGCGGGGAAATCTACTCAACAAAACAAAAGGAAAAGAAAAAAAAAAGTGTTAAATATGCCTTTTTCTTTGGTAATTAAGGGTTTATTCATTTGTATTTGTTAAGTTAGAGTGATTTGAGTTCAAATTTTAATATGAGTTAAGGTGTATTTAAGTAAGGTTTGAATTGATACTCTAATTTGAATTTGTATTTAGATGTGCACATTTTGAGTTGTGGTTTGAATTAAGAATCTATTTAAGTTTGTATTTAGATTGGTCAAAACTTAAATTTGTATTTAGAAAATATTTTAATAAAAACTCAATGGTGATGAAAAATTTTAATAGGGTATATAGGTGGAGTTTTATTCATCTTTTCACTGTGAACACATGAAAAAATATCATCTCAATGGGAATTAAAACGAAGAAGTTATGACATTTTTAAGAATAAAAAAATATTGTTCATTAATTTAAATTTGAGTTTAAAAACTTGAATTGAATGAGAAATTTAAACTCATATTTTAACTTTAAACTTAAATTAAAACTTAAATTTTATAAAAAAAATATATAAATTTAAATAAAATTGTAACGTGTTCAAATTTTTTTAAAATTTAAATGTAAATACGTTATAATAATAAAACTTGAATTTTGACCGTGAACAAAACCTAAAACTTTTTTTTTCATTAGAAAGAAAAAAAAAAACAAAAAAATAGAACTTTTCTGTAGTCTCCTCTTCGTATACATCACAATTCCACTTCTCCTTCTACTCTCACGCGCCGCCGTCACCACCGGCGGCCACCACCTCCATCCGTCCAAACGCTGACTACATCATTACTTTTCCTCGACAACTGAAATTCCCAAAATTCATAACTTCAATCGTCGTATTCCAAAGAGACCGAATTTAGGAAGACGATGCGTCTAAAGTTCAAAGCTTTACCAGGAAACTTTTTCCCGAGAAACAAACAGAGCCGTAGCAGGCTTCTGTGTACTGCTTCCATCTCACACACATTCAACGCTCCACTCGTCTCGGAGCTCATAGCAAAGCAACACTGGTCGGAGCTGAAAAGAACCCATCTCACTGACTCGAATCCCACCAAACTTCTCCAACAACTTTTCGAATCGGAAGTCGACCCCGACCTCATTTTCAGGTACTTCAATTGGTCCCATAAAGAGCTTAACATTTCTCACACTCTTGAACTCACTTGTAGACTCTTACACTCACTAGCAACCGCGAAAAAGTACTCCAAAATCAGGGCTTTTTTAGATGGGTTCGTTAAGAGGAATGTTGAACACTCAAACTTCACAATTTTCCACTCTCTTTCAATTTCTAGTGATCGATTTTGCACGAGTTCAATCATAGTTGACATGTTGGTATTGGCGTATGCTAAAAATTTGAAATCCCACTTGGCTTTTGAGGCTTTTAAGAGAGCTGGTGATTATGGGTTCAAATTATCTGCTTTGTCATTGAATCCTTTGTTATGTGCTTTGGTCAAGGAAAATAAAATTGGGCAGGTTGAGTTTGTGTACAAGGAGATGATTAGGAGAAAGATTACGGGTGATTTGTATACTTTTAGTATTGTGGTTAATGGGTTATGTAAGGCTGGGAAATTGAACAAGGCAGGAGATATTATTCAGGACATGAAGGCTTTTGGAGTTTTGCCGAATGTGGTTACTTACAATATTCTAATTGATGGATATTGCAAGATGGGGAAGTTGGGGAAGATGTATAAAGCTGAAGCTATTTTGAGGGAAATGGTTGCTAATAAAATCTGCCCTAATGAGATTACCTACAATATATTAATTAATGGGTTTTGTAAAGATGAGAATGTAGCGGCTGGGATGAAGGTGTTCGAGGAAATGCAGAGGCAGGGTCTGAAACCGAACGTGGTGACTTATAATTCGCTGATTGATGGGCTTTGTACTGAGGGGAAGCATGAGGAGGCTTGTGATTTAAAGGACGAAATGCTGGGTTGTGGTTTGAAGCCAAATGTTGTTACTTTCAATGCGCTTGTGAAAGGATTTTGTAAGAAGAAGATGATTAGGGAGGCTAGAGAGGTGTTTGATGATATTGGAGTCCAAGGCTTGGCTCCAAATATTATAACTTACAACACTCTAATTGATGCATATTGTAAGAATGGGATGATGGATGAAGCATTTCTTTCGCGCAGTTTAATGTGGGAAAAAGGAGTTCTCCCTGATGCTTCGACTTATAACTGCTTGATTGCTGGTTTTGGTAGACATGGGGACATGGAAAAAGCTAGAGATATTTTAGATGAAATGCAAAATAAGGGTCTCAAAGCTGATCTCATAACTTACAATATACTAATTGATGCATTTTGTAAGAAAGGGGAGACAAGAAAAGCAACAAGAATTTTGAAGGACGTGTTTGATAAGGGCTTGAGTCCAAGTCACTTGACATACAATACATTGATGGATGGCTACTGCAAACAAGGTAACCTGAAGGCTGCGTTGAATGTGAGAGCGCAAATGGAAAAAGACGGGAAGCGAGCAAATGTCGCGACATACAATGTGTTGATCAAGGGGTTTTGTGAGAAGGGAAAGCTTGAAGATGCAAATGGGCTTCTGAATGAGATGTTGGAGAAGGGTTTAAATCCAAACCAAATTACTTACGAGATAGTAAAAGAGGAAATGATGGACAAGGGTTTTGTTCCTGATATAGAAGGACATTTTGTGTAGCGTCTCTGGCAGCTCTTGGCTGCTGAAAATGAGAGATATTAGAGTTGTCCTGTACATACAAAGGTGAGCGTCAGGCCATGGGGAAACAAATAAGAAGATGAGGAAAACAATGCTTTCCCATTATGAATATGGAGAACTTTACGATAGGGTATGAGAACTGTCTAATCTTCATCAAATTTCCTTAGATTGTTCTACTTTTCTTAATTTATGCTTATGATGTTATCTGGGAATTCAAAACTGTGTCTAATTGGTAGGGTGTTGTACCCTACCATCGAATTCTCCAATGAATATAGCTAACAAGGTTAGAGAAGTACGTAAAAGTTTGACTGAAAAAACCAGAAATAGGGCTACAGCTCCCAGTTCTCTTGGTCCTTTAATTATTAATAGGGATTGCCTTGGTTTTGCTTCTTGCATATTTACTTGGTGGTTATATTTTTTTGTATTTTCAACCAAGCGATGGCAGTGTGGGTTATTTCCTTTTTGTTTCAGGGCCAAATCTGCTTGTTTTTGGAGAGATAATCTTTTTTTAGTTCCAATTATGTTTGGACTTGTTTCTATTCTTGTTTTGAGAAATTTTCTTGGAAGAGTGAATCCAACTTGTTTACAAAGATGGAGAAACAAATTCATACCAGTTTTGATGGGATATCTCTGTTGAAAACGAACTTTTAACCACAAAACTGCTTGTCGTTTTCAATAAACAACAGATATAGGGATGGAAGGGTGGAGGGATTGAGGTGTGGAAAGTGGAGAAAACCATGTTTGGTAGGGTAGAAAGGGAAGAGGAAGGGAGCTTGGGCTGAGGAAGCATTAAGGCCCATTCACTTCGTTAATTCGAGTTTTTAATTTGAGTTGAGATGTGATTTTATGTAAAAGCTTTTTACTGTAACAAAAAAGTTAGATGTGATTGTTTTTTAGAGCTTTTTACTGTAGCAAAACTCAAATTCTAAACTCGAATCGGCGAAATGAACGGGGTCTAAAACTTTTGAAATTACTCTCCTGACCTTGATTTTAAGATATACAATTCACAATTTTTTTTTTTTAATTTTCAATTTGTCGTTTCTTATCATTCCACTTATAGCAAATATAACTGTATTTTTTTTTAGTCAAAGATCAAATATGAATTAGTGTATAATATGTACGGGATACTCATATTATGGTAAATATATACATTTTGATTCGGCAAATATATTTACATTTTGTATTATAAACAGTACATGTACAATATGAAAATTTATCTTTCAAGTTGAAAGCACATGTAATACGTTTCTAAGCATGTTAATATAATTGATGATCATATGGGTAATTTAGTAATTTTACAAATCAAACTAATCCTTCTCTCTTTCTTCCTTTTCAATACCAAACAAGGGAGAATGATAAAATCATTTCTTCCTATCATACCAAACAACTTTAGAAATTATAATCCGTCCCTCTTTTTTTGCTCCTCTATCCTCCTATATGATCCATCCTTCTACCAATCTCTCCTTCCTACTAAACGAATCCTAAATATAAGTGGCATGTAGTTCAACTGAACTTTGGACTGTTAATGATAGGTCGTGTTTCTTAGAGTGTGTTTGGTTAGAGGGAGAGATGGAGGGAGAGAGGTGGAGGGAGAGGACTAATCAATTGTTTGGTTGGAGGGAGAGAAGGGTCGGCAATATAGGTCACAACACGACTTGAAAACGACACGAATTTCACGGGTTAGGGTTGAGAAAAAAGAGGTTCGGATCAGAATTGGGTCGACCTGAAATTGACACGAAAAACACGGGTCAATTTCAGGTTTGACCTGCTAACCCGAACACGATACAAAACTTGTAAAAAACTAAAAAATACATATATTTTTCATTACATATTTTTGATTTTATTATGAATTTGTGATATCATGATAGTTATACTCAAAATCTTACACTATTATTTGCTTAAATTCAATGTATGTTATTGTATTTTAGTGTGTTGTGATTTTTAAGTTATTTCTAATATGTAAAAAACTAAATAAAAGTATACAATTTACGTGTCAATTTCGTGTCATGGGTTATTTTCATGTCGTGTCGTGTCAACCCGTAAAGTGATCGTGTTACGGTTTTTAAAAAATTACGTGTCACGGGTTGTGTTCGGGTTGATTGTAAATTTAGAAAGAAACGATCAAAATATGACACGAACACGACACGTGACACGAATTGTCACCCTCAAGAGGTGGAGGGATGTTCTCTACCTCAAGGCCTACTAAATTAGATCCTTCCATTAATAGAAGGATTCAAACAATTTATCAAGTTTAATATTAAAAAGATTGTTTTACCATCAAAATAAATTATTAACAAATAGTTTAAATGAATAATATAATAATTTAACAAATAACTGTCATCTATCTTTTCAACGCTCCCTCTATCCTACGAAACAATGTGAAAAATTATTACAATCCTCACCGTCCTTCCTACTCTCTATCCTTCCAACTCTTTCCAAATGGAAATGTTGTTTATCAGGTTTCAGATGCAGGTTATCTCTCACCTCTCCTCTTCTACTTGAAATGTTGTTTATCAGGTTTAACAAGTAACTATCATTTACTTGAAATGCTTTTTTATCAGGTTTCAACCTTCAGGTGCTGTTTATCAAGTTTCAGACGACTGCAAATTTTTCTTGAGAATAATAACTTTGAACTAAATGACAGCAAACAAAAATAACAAACGTCATGTCATTTGTCTCTTAACAGGATATCTTTTTCGCTTGACAGCTGTAAGTCCAACATTTTTGTGGTGGTGGTTGTTTTTTTTTTTTCCTTTTATAAAATCATTCTAGTATCTTACGAAACATACTGTTAGTAATACGTGTTTTTTAAAATATTAAAATAGTACCTTAATATTTTTAAAAACATCCACTTAGTACCCTAAAACTATTTTAAGATGTAAAATGACCACAATACCCTTCTATTTAATTAACTAGAAACTAATAAATTTAGGAAAAATTCTAAAAAATAGTTTATATTTGGTCTTCTTCTTCCGGCCTTTCTCATTTTCGGACCCCAAAAAAACCTCACTCAGTTCATCAAAATCCTAACAAAACCAAAAAAAATCCATGAACAACATCAGATTAAAAATCCAATCTTCACCCATGCATAACCAACCATGGCATAAGGGTAATTTGCACTGATAGTCCCTTAACTCTTTAGAAGGTGATATTTTGGTCCCTCTTTTTCTAATTTTGACAAAACGAGTTTCAAACTCTTAAAACATTGACAATTAAGCCCTTTCCGTTGAAAACCGTCAAGGTTTTAACAACATCAATCATGTGTCAAACATGTAATTTATTGTGAGGGGATATTTTAGTAAAATGACAATAATTAATAATTCAACAAAAATCAAAATAAAACATTATAAAAAAAAAAACTACTCTAACCACTCTCTTCCCCTTCGTCGCATTAAGAGCTACTCTAACCTGCCCATTTCCACACTCGGCATCATCACCACCACCACCTCCTTCAAATCCCTTGCATTTAATTTCCCAAATCTCAAACCCCAAACCTTCTCTCATCTCGCAGATAACCACAAAAAAGGGGAAAAAACCATAATCAAAAAACTAAGTTTCACTTCAAACCAACTACGGAGCCAATCTAAGCATAGAAAAGAGAATAGCATTCACCCATTCAATTTCCTTGGTTGTCGAAAAAAGTCCAAAAAAAAAAAGAACCACAAATGAACTTGCCTTGTAACAAAAGAAACAAAATTTGAATGAGGTGATGATCAACTTTCTAGCTCTGCGCCAAGGAGGAGATTAAAGGTGCTGTCATGCTTCCCGTCTCTAACCCAGTGTCGTTGTCACCATCCACGGCCAAATGGGAAGCTTCTCCATGGAACCATCACAGATATGCTATTCCACCTCCTTTACATCTTCCCGTTTAGCTTTCTTCGGGCTCTGTCCATCGCGCCTCCCCCTAAGCTCCCAAACCTATCCTCTCCGATGAGCATCTTCATCTTTTTTGTCAGTCTCCGGCATCAACTCCAGCCACCCAAAACCGCCACCCAAAAAACCCAAATATACTGAATAAAAAAACCTAAGGGGTTGTTCTTTTGCAACAAAACTCAGAAAAAGTTTAAACTCAAGTTACAACTTTATTCAAGTTCACGTTCTTTTAAGTTCCAACTTTATTCAACTTTACTCAACTTTATTCAAGTTACAACTTTAACTCAAGTTATAACTCAAATTCAACTCAAAAATTACACTCAAGTTACGCTCCAAAAGAACAACCCCTAAAATACTTGTGTTGCTTGCTCAATTAGAATTATGGGTATTTTTAGAAAAAGAGTAAACTTGTTGGCCACGTGTATAAAACTGTTTAAAAGGTAACAGAATCAAACGAAAAGAGATATTTTAAGAGTTTAAGAATCTTTTTGTTAAAATTAAAAAAGAATTAAGGGATTACCGATATAAATTACTCTTTACATAAAAAAACACTCTGGTCATTCCTTTGTGAAGTATTGCAAAACAAGAAGTCAGAAAATGGAAAGAAAGCGAAAAAAAAATGCACCGAAGATCGGTGATGGTTCGAGGAAGCTTGAGCTTGTCGTACTTGGTGGACTAGATGCAGAAGAGACCTGTGGAGAAGATTAAGAAGACTCCATGGCGGACGCCAACTCATAGCGGCGGGAACCTCTCGAATTTGGGTTTCTTTGCGGAGGGCGAATTGTCCTCCTTGGTGGCGGCATTCTCCTTGTTTCTTCATAGCCTAACGCTGGCGCCCATGGCCAAATTCCTCGGAGCCGCGATTGGAAGGCGCGACGGCAGCATCAATGTCGACGATCACTCATTAGGCAATTCTTTTCTTCCTTTCTTTTTTTTTTATTATAGAAATTTTGGGAAAAATCTGGAAGAGAAATGAATGAATGAATTCGAATTGATTGAAGAAGAAAGAATCTTTGTTCATTTTAGATTTTACGAGCATGAAATCCGCGCATTGCTGCGGAATACAGTGTTATATTATATGATAATTGTATTTAAAATATATTTATATATATACATGTATTATATAGTATTGTATTATATGATAGATATAAAATTTGTACAAACATATTTATACAGACATATATAGTACTATTATTTATAATATTTATATATATACAGATTGTACAGAATAAAAAACAACACTGTTGTGGTTCCTGAGCATTTTATTTCTTTTAGCTGCAAGTATAAAAATGGGAAAAATGGTTGTAAATATAAGTGTTAAGAGAAATAAAGATGGTTAAATTATATAGTATGAAATAAATATTATAAAAATATTTATATTACCTTGTTTTTGGGCGTTTTGCAGATTGTCTTGTTGTTCTTGATTTAGGGCTGAAAAATAGAATAATTTGTATATATGTTTTTAAATAAATTGATACTATTTGTTGTGTTGAATGTGGTTTACCTTGTACCAGGTTTTTTTGGTGTTGGAGTGTGTGGATCAAATGTGGTCGGTGTTGATAGCTGTGATGATGGTATTGCTTGTGGGCTGAAAAATGAGAAGATTTTTAAAATTTTGATTAATATAATATAAATGTTATTTATGTATAGTTCATAAAAAATTTAAAAAATATTATTTACCTTTGTGGATCTTCTGTTCCTGCAGTTAAATGTTTTGGTGGCGACGATGGAACATGGATGTCTTCAAATATTTTAGAAATTAATGTGCTCATTTGGGTGCCTCGTTGTTGAAAGAAGACTTGGAAGATTTTTTATTGTCCTCGGATCTGATCGATAGCTGGTGGTATTATAAATGGATCGGTAAAGCCTTCATCAATTGTTAGTGCAGAACATGGTTTTTTTTATTAATGCCTGAGCAGTTCTGCCAAAAGCGATAACTTCCATGTCTCCAGTATGATCTTCAATTTAGATTGTTAATCTGTACTTGTAACATATATATATATATTTAGAGTTATAAAGATATATAATAAATAAAAATGGTATGGTAATAAATTTAATTACCATGGAGATGGTGTTGACTTTATGTGGCCATGACTGTTGCACCACCAACCTATTCTTGCCTGTTTTAGTTGTCGATAACATCTGGGACAAGAATTGTAGAACCATCATTGAGATGTTGAAAAGTTTACTATGGTCGTTCTTATAATGAAGTTTTCACCTTGCATAAAAGATAGAATATTGTGGTTTTAAGTTTTTTACTAAGTGTAGTAAAAAAATAATAGGAAAGTTAATAGTACTAACCAGATTATTTTGTGCATCCAATATTTTGAGTTCGTTTATTGTTCTTCTGTTTGCTGATATTTGTTCTTCAATTGTTTGGATGGGTGTTTTTGACGGTGGTAGGAATTCAATTTGTTGATTTTGATAGGAAAATCTGTATGTATAAAAATACGAATAAGTTAAGGAAAATATAAATAAAATGTATGATTATGTAATATGATAAATTTATTAGAATATATTTTATATATATATGTGTTTACCTTGTCTTTAATGTTGTTGTTTCTGGGATGTCTGGGTCAATATAGAATATTGTTGCTGATGTACTTGAAACACATGAGTTACCTAGAAATATAATAGAGTAAATAATAAATGTACGCTATATTTTTTTTATATATGTATATAAAAATGTTATAATAAAGTAATGTTAAAAATACCTAGATACTACTTCGTCAACATTGTCGAGAAAACTGCCACAACTGGTGCCTTTAGTGTTTTAAGTACATTCTCATCAAATTGATCGGCTTTATGTCCCCATAGGCTTACCTGTAGTTGTTCATTTCTGTTGAAAAAATGCAGTTCACAAAAATGAATAATAAAATTGAATTATAAAAGTGGAAAAATATTGTATTCACGTTAAATAGTTGTAATGAACAGTAAATGTGAGGGAAAAAAGCGTAAATTTATTATACCTGATGTTTTGTATCGTTATGGATCGCCGTATTGTTGGTCTGGTGCTGACATGTGTATGTTCGAGTGCTTGGACACTTGTTAATACTCCAATAACATCTAATATTATATATAAACAAGGAAATTTTGTAAATAAATATTCAAGAAATATTTATAATAATAATAAAATAAGTTAAGTAAGATATATTACCTGTTAATATCTCAGTATCATTTATTCTTTGATATAGCTGGTCGAATTCTATGAAGTAGAATTTGTGAAATGAGATGAACGGTGCGTCTTCCATAATTAGAGTAAAGGATGTTGCTCGTGCAAATTGGATCATAGCACTGTGTGGAACGACTTTGTATGTTGGTTTATTTTTAGTAACATAGAAGTTACTAATATTGTATGTATTGCCTTATTCAATTTTTTGAGAAATATAGTCCGAATCACGTGCTCAAATTATTCCCTGTATTGCTTCATGCTGTAAATAAATAATAATGATAGAAATTTATTCAATATTAACAAATGTTATATAAAATAATATGTAATATAATATTTTAAAATTTTAGTACCTCTTCATCAACCAGAATACAGTCAAGGCTTATCAGGCGTCCTGTGACAAAATCGTTGTTTGTCCATATTCTGCATACTCGTGCTTGTATTGTTTCATACACTCCATTTGGTTTTAGTGCACGAATAGGTGTTGTCATTTTCTGTAAATCTTGAAAAAAAACAAATAAGATATTGTTATAATGATAAATATTTTTATTGAGTT